CGATTCCAGATTGTGATGATAACAGGTCCTGTGCCAGTCTCACAGTGCAACAGTAACCCAAGATCTGGTGCAAGGACCTTTTATATAAGATGAGACTCCAAGGCACAAGATAATGTCCAGGTTTCACTACCATACAGCAAAAGGTATTATCAGAGCCTTGAAGATGCATAACTTGGTCCTTCTGCACAGGTACCAGCATCTCCAAATACTCTTGTCGAGAGAGTTCATGACCCCTGCTGCTACGCAAATCCGTCTGCTGACTTCCTGGTCTGACAGCCTAGAATTATGAACTACACTACCAAGGTATGTAAAGCTCTCTGTGACTTCAATGTCCTTGCTGCAAGCACGTGCCGACTGAACATGTTTTCCTAGCAAGTCCCCAAAGTCCAGGCTCTTGGTCTTGGTCCAGGAGACCTCAAGACCCAAGGGCTTCACTTCATTACTAAATGCATCCAGAGCCACCACTAAGGTTTCCAAAGCAACATTATCAGGAAATTCAAGATCAGTAACCCTGATATTGGCCAGAGTTGCTCCACAATGACTTTGAATAGTAGCTCTTCCCAGTATCCAGTCCATGCAAGTGTTGAAAAGTGTTAGTGCAAGGACACAGCCTTGCCTCACTCCTGAACTAACAGGAAAGAATCTCGACAGGCCCCCACCATACTTTACAGCACTTTCAATACCAGTATATAGGCTTGCTATTAGTCCAATAATCCTTGTTGATATTCCCCTCAGTCTAAGGATTACCCAGTGTGATTCTCGATGCACCATATCGAACGGCCTTCTTGAGATTCATGTAGGCTGCAAGCAGCTCATGCCCGAACATACAACGGCACTCTACAATGACTCAAAGTGCGAGGATACGGTCTATTGTGGACTTACCAGGAGTAAATCCAGATTGCTCCAGCCTCTGGTGCCTCAGTAGGTCTTCTCTGATACATCTCAGAAAGATGTGAGCAAGAATCTTACCTGGTATACTGAGCAGTATGATGCCTCGGTGATTGCTGCAGTCCCATCGGTCCCCGCTTCCCCTTTCCAGAGAGAGATGACCACACCCCTCAACAGGTCAGGAGGAATGGTAAATGTAAATGTGTGTATCTATATATGTGTGTATATGTATGTGTATGTGTATATGTATGTGTATGTGTATATGTGTGTGTATATGTAAATGTGTGTATCTGTATTATGTATGTGTCTGTGTATCTGTATTATGTATGTGTCTGTGTATATGTATATGCATGTATATAATTTAAATATACATATATATATATATATATATATATATATATATATATATATATATATAATATATATATATATATATATATATATACATATATGCATATATATACACATACATGTATATATATGTATGAATGCATATATGTATGTATATGTATGTGTATGTGTATATATACATATACATATAGACACACACACACACACACACACACACACACACACACACACACACACACACACACACACACACACACACACACACATATATATACATATATATATATATATATATATATATATATATATATATATATATATATATATATATATATATATATATATATATATATATATATATATATATATATATATATATATATATTCATGCATTTCTACTCCTTTCAAATTCTGACACAACACATGCACAGAAAAACTAATCATAAAAGAAATTAAATAACAGTAATATAAAAATACAATCTCGTGTTTTCTTATGTACAAAATATTATATACATATAAAACCTGGTAAGACAATATGGTAATTTTATTTTCAAAAAGTAAAAATAACCATCTTCACCTTTGTACGACACTCCACACAGAGACAATAATCAAGAAAAAGCAATATTTAACAGATTTAACTGCAAAATCAGGGAAATCTGTATGACCTAGAAATGCTTTGATCCAATAATCTTTTTTATAATGGTTAATGGCTGAAACAAATATATGAGCTAGACATCTAAGGTCATATAGCACTAGGATAAAGTATTGGTTGTGAAAAGGATAAATGAGTTAACGATTAATATAAAGAGTTTTAAATGTCAAAGATTATAGTGCTATAGGATAGTATGACGGGGAAAAGGTGTAAAGAGGGTGTGCAAATGAAATAAATTGGAGATAATAAAGGAAAAGGTTAAGGGTATAGGGTGATTAGACAGAATGGGGTGTATCTGTTGTTGGGGAAGCTATAGCAACATTGCTTTAAGGACAAACTGGTAAAAGAGCTGATATGAAATTATCAGCAGGTAATACAGATAGAGATGACTGTTGGAGAAGTAGCAGGAGAAGAGTCAGGGGGTTGGGATAAGGGGACTGAAGGAGGTGAAATATCAGGAAGAGCATCGGGAGGGGAGGAATTTGAAGGACACTGTTGCGACAGAAGGGATTCACATGAGTATCCAGGAGGGATAGGTAAGGATAATGGAGGAAGAAAAGGGAATGGTGTAAATGGACAAGGATAGGATGAGGTTTGTTGGGAAAGAGTAGGAGGAAGAGGGGTAAGGGGAACTTGCAGAGGAGATGGATATTGGCAAATACTTTGAATGTAGAGGGACTAAGAGTAGAACGATTGGAGGGTGGATGAGGGAACTGAACATTTTCTTGGGTCATGTCTAGGAATTTTTGGATGTCTTCAAGAAATACCGGAGGGTATTTGGGTAGGGAGGTCTGAGGTATGAGGAGAAGAGGGGACAGATGTTCGTGGAGCTGAGGAACCGGAGGGTGTGGAAGGCAAAGATGGAGTAGAACATTTAGGGTGTCTGGTGCGACATGTAAAGTGAGGGGTAGGAAGGGTAGGTACTGGAGATGTGGTAGAGATTGGAGTATCTGGATTTAGAAGGTATTAGGATTTTCACTGCGGGATAGGGAGAGTAGAGGTAGAATGGTTCAAAGTACAGGGAAGAGATATCAGGGGAGATGCAGAAACAACTTGTGTATTTCAATGTGTATTTTTAAAAATCTATTCTTTAGCTGCTTCAATTATGTTAAACTGATACCTTATTGTTAACTTACCACTGCAAAGATGAACAAAACAACATTACTGCAAATAAATTGGGTAGATTAAAACATTTAAAAACTATATTGTGGGGATGTGGCAACTGGAAAAATGGAGTAGTATTTATGGAAAAATTATTTCCATAAATACTACTACAGGTGTCTCTACTCCTTCCTTAGGATGGTGATGCCCAGCCAGTTTCTCTGCATCCTTAACTTCCTTGAAATACTTCAGGAAAACAACAATACCAACAGAGGAATGGAATAATAACTGAACAACAAAGAGTTATATGAAATCCTTAAATGCAAAGTTTCACTATGACATTGCCTATATCACTTTTACTTTATACTTACTGGTTAGGATCACAGACACTGTAAATGTTCTTTTCTTCAGCTAGCTATGTCTACTATCTATGCTAATTTTCCTTTTAAGAATCTATAAATCAAATTTTGGGATGAATTCCTTTAAAGTATTATCAAATCATGACATTTAGCTATTCTAATTGAATAAAAAAGCCATAATTGGCCAAGGACTGACAAGTATTAAAAGAATGTTTACAAAGAAGTCTTATAAACTTCCACTAGAAATAAAAGGAGAACTGATTCAGCTAATCTAATACACTCACTTTCTTATGCCATATTTACAGGTTTCGATTCTTCTCCAAAGTTCTGGTGATATGATTCATTCTAACATCTATATTACTTCCTCAGTCCCTGACCACGTGGGAGATCACTGCTTGGATCTACATGACTTCAATTTTGTATTCAGACTGTATGATGAGATTTTCTATTTTCTATACAAACTTCTTACTGATGTAACCAAAGCTAACATAATCTGGCTTGTGACTATCTCTGAAATATATAAGGGAGTTGTTACAGTTACACATCATGAACAAATATAATTTCACCAAAAAAGAATGTAAATCCATGACATCATTCATAATTCATCATCATTAATTTACCACAGAACTACAGCCATACTTTGGCATAAAAAAATATCCTAAAAAATTGTCTCATACCTAATGTTCTGATAGTAAATATTATGAAAAGTAAAAAACATTAATCAATAACCAAACCACTAGCATCAGTCAATAAATTTCTAATTACATCATCAAGTTCTTTAGACAAGTTTGCCACTGTGAACAATCTGATGACATGATGAGCCACAGTGTGGTTCAAAAAAACTATGACTAGTAAACAACTTTTTACAAGCTATACAGTACATGGTCAATAAGCATGTAAGCAAACAAAATCATCATCTGCAAAAATCATAGTTTTAAAAAGTGAAAAATCCCAATTCTCAGGAGGAGGAGGAGGAGGAGAAAGAGGAGGAGAAGGAGAAGGAGGAGGAGAAGGAAAAAGAAGAGGAGGAGGAGCAGAAAGAGGAAGAGAGGAGGAGGAAGAGAGGGAGGAGAAGGAGAAGAAAGAGAAGGAGGAGGAAGATGAAGAAAAAGAAAATGAGGAGAAGAAGGAGGAGGAAGATGAAGAAAAAGAAGATGAGGAGAAGAAGGAGGAGGAAGAGGAGAGGGAGGAGGAGGAGGAGGAAGAGGAGGAGGAGGAAAGGGAGGAGAGGAGGAGAGGGAGGAGGAGGGAGGAGGAAGAGAAGGAGGAGAGGAAGAGAGGAGAGGGAGGAGGAGGAGGAGGAGGAGGAGGAGGAGGAGGAGGAAGAGGAGGAGGAGGAGGAGAAGAGAGGAGAAGCCTTTAGGCAATGTGACACTGACATACACAAAAAAGAGAGAAAAATATATTTCTACAATTGCTTGAGCAACAGATCTTAAAAGCATCAGAAAATATATGGTTTATGAGAAATTGAAACTTTGAAAAAAATGAGGAGGATTAAAGGAAGAGGGAGGATTAGGAGGAGGAGGAGGAGAGGGAGGGAGAGGAGGAGGAAGAAGAAAAAGAGAGGAAGGAGGAGGAGGAGAGTGGGGGGGGAGCAGAGGAGGATGAGGAGGAAGAGCAGAAGAAGAAGAAGAAGAAGGCTTTGTGACACTGACATACACAAAAAAAGAGAGAAAAAATATATATAATTTGTACAATCGCCTGACCAACAGATCTTAAAAACATCGGAAAATATATGGCTTAGGAGAAACTGAAACTTTGAAAAAAATGAAGACTAAACACAAGAATAAACTTTGAGCACTTCACAAAGGTTGTAAAATGATTAATAATGTACGTTCATAAAATGCCTACAAACGATCAGTTAAAAAAAAACTTTCGTTGATTTTTTTTTGCATCAAAATAAAATCACTCAACATCATATTGTAAATACACATTATGTGTGGGAAGATAAATTACTTTCACAGCACAATTCTCTTTGGAAGTTGGAATAACTCCAGTCCCATTTCTCTTTCTTAAATTAGCAAATCTAATGGAAGAGATGTCGTTTCATATCCTATATGTTTATCTACTTATTTACTGATATACTATCTACTATCTCTTCTACAGGTTTATTTTTTTTGAAGTGGGGTGGAGGGAACAAATAATATTTTCTGAAACAACTATTACTAACTCTACCATCAAGGAAACTGCCGTGGACTAAATACTATACATGAGTGAGATAACTACCATACGCCCTTATCTGAATGCTCATACGCAAAACCTGACTCTCACCTTTTATATCAACGCCTGGCAAATATGAACGCTTTGAGAACTTCCAGGGCTCAATACAACTCTCTTTGTTGCCACAAGTCGAGGTCGAAAAATGTTACAATTAGTGTTCTGTCATTGAAGATTGTCTTTGAGAGGATATAGTACGCTTCCTCTGCATCTGAAGCCTGGTGATACTGCACAAAGAAAGCCCCAAGTGACACTTCCAGGTGGTAGTCGATGACATCACCATGCTTCTTGCACAACTGCAAGAAATAATTCTCCACAACTGCAGAAAAAAATGTTTGTTTTTACAAGGAAGACTCCTGTAATTTATACCAGCCTAGAATACAGCTCTCTAATATACTATGTTCAAAACATAATGTTGCAATTCTCACCCATACTTCTAATAACACATAAATAATGGTAGTACCACACATGCATCAAAAATATTTTAATTCAGTTACATTAATTCATCAATATCGTTCTAGTCTCCGTACAACTCCCAGACCACATATTACTTACCTTTACCTTCAGGAATGCCCTCCAGCTGGTGGGCATCGGACACATTGAGAACACGCAACACAGTGGTCCGAAGTAGTGACAAATCATGGAAAGTAGGACGGTAGGCCTGGGCTAGCCAGGGGCTACTCAAGAGCTCTCGTGGGCTGGCACGGTCCTCCGGCGAGATTTGTAAACATCTGCAAAAGAGAGTGAAATCATAGGTAATGTGCACTTCTAATCAATAGCTTCTATAAGACTTACTTTTAATGCAAGAGGAAATTGATGTACAGCATCTGATTGAAATAATTAGATAGGCCATGCTATAATGCCTGTATCTACTAAAACAATTATCCCTCTTTTCATTCTAAAACCAGATGACTATATCCACTTTCAAATACAAAATGACCCATTTTTACAAAAGCAGATTATGAAAACTGCAAACACAAGGAAAAACAATACAAAACACAAATTGTTCAAGAGTCGCGGCTCAACCAAAAAAAAACAAAACAAACCAATCTACATAATCTGCCCTGTTTCTGGCACTGGTGGATCTCTCAAAAGTAAAAAGATACTAAAGCTATTCATAATAAAAAGTTCCTCACCTAGTTATAAAGTCATATGCTCCATCCAAGAACTGCGGTGAATAGTTGGCTGCACTGCTGGCAAGTGCCGCTTTCACTGCCTTATTGACATTAGTCTCACAAAAACTAGGGAACAACTGGCAGCCAACAATAGCCTGCAATTTATAAACCACTGATATAATCAAAGGTAAATTTACATTTAGTAAGATATAACATTCATACCATTTCTAGATTTTGTTTCAAACACACACCCACACATACCCAACCACCCACCCATACTCACATTCATACACACACAAAAGAAAAACAGAAAAAAAGAGGAATACTCGCTAAACAGACACAGCATTTTGATGGGGGTAAATCAGCCTAAAATCAGCCTTCATAAATAAAACAGTTTCCAACAGAATACCTGCAAATATTCCTCACACACAATCCTTTACTTCCTCCCCCAAAAATTGCCTTCAAACATATCACCACACTGCCATCACAAACTCAACACCTCAACAACATAACATAGTCTCAACAACAGAAAAAAAAAGTTATATCAACCTCTGCAACGATGCATCCTGCACTCCAGACATCCGATGGAATTCCTGGCCTGACCACAGCCGGTGTGTCAGAACTGCTGATCTCTGTTCTCTTTTTATTCCAGTAGATGCTCTCCGGTGCTTGGTACCCTAAGGGAATTTGTAAATGCCTTTATTATAAAACTTGGTACTCAGAATCCTTGGGACTATTGTACATGTCTATATCATATCCTGCTGTAGCGTATGAATTATAAGGAAACTGAGAGTTTTATCTCTGACTAATTTCTAAA